GGCTCCGGCGATCCTTCCGCCTCAACCTTCCGAGTAGCCGGAATTACAGGCACGCGCTACCATGCCCGGATGATTTTTCTAATTTACTGTCGAGATGAGGTCTCGCCAAGTTGCCCAGGCGGGTCTTGAACCCGCGGGCTCAGACAATCCACTCACCTCAGCCTCCCAAAGGCGCGGGATTACAGGCTGAGCCACCGAGCCCGGCTGCTTTAACTTTTAAGGACCAGGAACCAAAGTAAGCAGGCACTTTAGTCTATATTGCCAAATTTCTTAGGGAAAGGGAGGGCATATCAAAAGGAGAAAGTGGTTCAAATAATCAAATTATATAAGGTCCCTAAGTTTTACTTTGCATCAGGTAGGCCCAAGAATGACTCTAATTCTATGAGTGGTAGAGTCCTAGAATTATCAAAGCAGGTTATCAAACCCATATGCATACTAAACGTTGTCTGCTGACTGAATAAAGACTATTTTCCCCATATGTGTACTTGTATTCTTAAAATGTAGGTTCTACTATAATGATAAAATACAAATCAGGTTTTTTTCGTCATTTATGCGGTTCTTAAATACTTGAAAAGTACAAGCAATATCATGTGGTGGTCAGCCAACATTTTTGGCTTTAAGAAGTGACTCTGATTTGAAAAAGCTGGAAACTACTGGTAAATACCTCTAGGGAGTTACTTTTGGCATAAGTGAGATTAAATACTGAGACTACAGGTCACTTTGTTACTAAAAGAGTCAAAAACAAGGGAGTCTGTAGAATCAAAGCCAAGATACAAATTTAGCCTACCAAAATCTAGGCACTCTTCTTTTTTTTGTTTGTTTTATTTTGGGCATGCTAAAACAAGAAGCATGCCACACCTTTCTAAACTGATCTATCATTAAGTCAGAAAGCAGGTATTTATAAACTCGGAACACTGCAAAGGGTCATAAGCTTCCTGAGAGTTGAGTTCACATTTCATTTCAAAGAATTTGAGTTAAGTATCCAGTCTGCCTGAAATATAGGAATATAAGGTTTTAATGGCATTATTAAAAACTACAGTCTGAATGTCTCTTTGTTTTCATATATTGAGAGGAGAAAGTAAAAATCTTGTTTTCTTCTGCAAAAGGAACCATCAATATTTTGCTTTAGATGACTAAGATCATAGTAAATACTTATTTCTGTAAGTATCAAACTGAAAATCACCACTTACAATTTCTTTTTGTTTTGTTTTTTTTGAGTTGGAGTCTCACTGTCACCCAGACTGGAGTGCAGTGGCCGCTCCCGGTCACTGCAGCCTCGACCTGCTAGGCTCCAGCAATCCTTCCACCTCAGCCTTCCAAGTAGCTGGAACTACAGGCGTACGCTGCCACGCCCGGCTAATTTTTTTATTTATTGTAGAGATGAGGTCTCGCCAAGTTGCCCAGGCGGGTCTTGAACCCGTGGGCTCTGGCAATCCACTCACCTCAGCCTCCCAAAGCATGGGATTAAGGCCACCACTGCTACCTAAAAAACCCTCCTTACATGATTTCACTACAGCAACAAAACACAAAAGAACAAGAGCATTTATATCTTTACAACCAAAGATAAAGGATTTTGGAAGCTGGATCTTATTTATCAAAAATATTTTATATAGAAGACTTGAAAAGTAGCAAAATGATGCAATAGTTAGGCCGCGCATGTTCACTAAATCCTGGTGAATTACTAAGTGAACACCATAAATCCTCCCTTTAAGCCGGGCTCGGTGGCTCAGCCTGTAATCCAGCACCTTTGGGAGGCTGAAGTGAGTGGATTGCCTGAGCCCGTGGGTTCGAGACCCACCTGGGCAACTTAGTGAGACCGCATCTCTACAATAAAATAAAATAAAAATTAGCTGGGCATGGTAGCGTGCGCCTGCAGTTCCAGCTACTTGGAAGGCTGAGGCAGAAGGATCGCCAGAGCCCAGCAGGTCGAGGCTGTGGTGGCCCGGAGCGGCCACTGCACTCCAGTCTGGGTGACAGAGTGAGACTCCAACTCAAAAAAAAAAAATCCTCCCTTTAGAGTCAATTTAGGTAATTACTAACCTACTCCTCAACCAAATAATACTAACGCCACTGAAGAGACTACTTGTGATTACTTCTAAGCTATGACTAAGTAGACTCTGAAAGAACAATGGAGACTCTTCCAAACTTAGCACTGAAACCTAATACTGTTTTTTCAATGCAATTTTTGTTCAAGAGTTTTCAGGGAACAAGTTTCCTTTAATAGTGTCCTTACAAAGAACTCACTGACACACCAAAAGACAAAGGTTGTGAGGTTTTTTGTTTGTTTTTGCTATTTTAAATTGTCAATAACTTTAATTCTCCAGATTTTTCTTTCTTGCTTTTGAAGGAGAATTATTAAAGAATGTTCCAAAACACTCTTCCCATTTGGAGTCAAAGTGAGCTTCAATTTGCCACGGAGCAAAGAGTCAGGACTTCCAACCTTGCAGATCAGTGACAAGGTTAAGTGCATGACTCTAGCCCTTCAGCATCCACAAATCATCAGCAGCAAATTCTAAACCCAATTTTCTCTTTCCAAAGGTTTCTATCTGTAGTAGTTAAGATAGTTGGTTTTAAATGATTTTTTACTCTGTACGAATATCTCTACCTGAATATTGACAACTAGGGTGGTAGAGGCCTTACAGAGGACCTATCTCTCTTCTTCTTAACCTAGCAATAAAAATAGATCAGTAACATTTTGTCTTGTAGTATACCTGGATTCAGACGAAAGGGATTTGTGAGTTTACCTTTCTTCTTTTATTACTACTTTCTAACACTGCTACTCTTTCTACATTTTTTTGGTTGACATTCTACTATAGAAGAGCTTTCTTTTCTCTCAAATTTACTTATGTCAATATGAACTCACTGTTCGTCTTTTATTCGGTGGGTTATAATCCATTAATACTATTTATATTGATGCTCATAATTGTCCCCAAGGGTATCTTTTGTTACACTGACAATGTAGCAACAGCATCAGTAATAATGACACAGACTTACATTTCAAAAGGGTACAAAAGACTTCCTCATAGTGTCTCTATTTGATTAACTCTGTGACCAAGGGAGAGAGGTAATCTCTCCTGTAAATTGTTTGCTAAAAGGTTTCTCTGCTGGTACCAACTATGGCTAGAACTTGGGTTTTCTGATTTTAGGTTCATTGTGCTTTCCACTCTATTAAGTCTTCCTTAAGAATTGAAGGGTAAAACTTCAGGCAACAATCCCACAGTGGGGAGGCGGATAGTAGCCTACAGCCTGTGCGTATAACCCTGGAGTCAAGAACTGTTTGACCTATCAACATGAGGATACATTGCTTTGAGCAAGAACAGGGAGGAAGAAGGTTCCCCTAAATTGTATTACCCAATAAGAATTATTTAGGGTGAGTTTTTCACTTCTTCCAAATTATCCAGGTCTTTACTCATTTACAAAGAAAGACAAAAATCGTTTGAGAAACTTCCCTGCAATTTCCCTTATTTTTCATCTGCGTAATGAGTACAAGAGGTTAAAACAAACAAGATCACAGAGGGATTTATAATAAAAAGTCAAAGTCCCCAGCCCCAACTCTCCCTCCCCTCAGGAAAACTTTCAACGGTTTCCCATTTTTAGTTCTGGTAGCTCACTCCATATCTGTGGAAACGATTTATCGTATTATCAATTTAAGTATTGTTTGTCGATTCACTGCTAAGACAGATCAGGATTTAACTAACACTCCTCTCTCTTCTCCAAATTTCCTATAGTTATTACCTTATGTTCTAGAGATAATCTTTCAATACTTAAGCCTCTATTTTTTTGCATCGCTAGACGGATATTGGCATTGCTGTCTTCTCCTGTCCGCTGCACCTTTATCTTTTCGCAAGACAGTGAGGGTGCTAAAAGTTTAACCCATGAGCAGTATTTACTGTGTTGTGTCCGTGGAGGAGGGCGTGTACTTCCCTGCTGGCCACCGAGTGCTGGGGCTGCAGCCTACGAGTACCTTTTAAACATCGTATGCAAAACTGCCTGCAAACTCCACCCCCCCCCCCCCCCCCCCC